GTGAGGTTTAACCTCAGCTGGCAAAGCAGCACCACACAGCTGAATAGATAAAGCAAAACCGGCACAAGCAAGCAAAGCTAAACAAGGAATTCATCCACTGCCTCCCATGGCAGGCCAGTGCTCCAGGAAGGCAGGGCTCCATCAATTACTTGGGAAGACAAACCCCGAATGTTCCCCCTTCCTCCTTCTCCCCCAGATTTGTGTGCTGAGGGTGATGCCATAAGGTCGGGGATATCCCTGGGGTCAGCTGGGATCAGCTGTCCTGGCTGTGCCCCCAGCTCCTCCCTGGTGAGGGTGAGGAGCAGGACAGGCCCTGGCTGTGTGCAATCCCTGCTCAGGAGAGCTCAAACACCCCTGGGTTATCAGCCCTGTTCCCAGCACAAAACCAAACCCAGCTGCTCTACCCCAACCAAAACCAGCACACCAGATCCTCTCTTGGTCTCCTGAGCATGAGAGGGACCAGCCTGGCCCAAATTTTGTTCCTTTTCTGTCCATGGTCACTGGTAGAGCCAAGGTGAGAACTCCTTGAGAGCAGACATAGATTAGGGGAGATTAAGGCAGGGAGCAGACTGTGGGGATGCAGGGACATCAGATGGCCAGGAGCGTATGCTGTGGCTGAGCCTGGGAGCTGGGAAGGTCCTGGAGGAAATCTGCACCAGCCGTGAGGCTACAGCAGAACGCTCAGGGGAAGGCAATGTGAGAAGGGCAGGTACCGCTGGTTTGCTTTGAGAAGGTGCTGAAGGGCAGCAAACACAAACTGCCACCCTCAGATAGATTGCTCTGGTGGGAGGGGATGCAGAAAAATTGGTTTATCACTCAGTATTTTAACTTGCTGTGACTTCCTGGGGCACAGTGGCTTTGAGGTGAAGAACTGTTGGTGCTAAGTGAGAACCAGGCACTCTGCAGGGAGATAAACTAGATGGGCAGTGAAATGGGAGCTAGATTTGGGGGAATAAAAACCACTTTTCATTCTCTGTTCTGTGTTACTGAGATGCATTTTTTAAAAATAGCTGTGATTCGGAACCATTAACAAGAATGTTTTACCTGGATAATTTCCTTTGAGAGTATTTACAAGTCCCCAACAAGAGCAGGGATCGAACCTAAGAGAGGAGTACATCAATGTCATCCTGCAGGGAATGTACCAGTCCAGCTCCTCTGCTCTCAGAGGGACATCTGGCTGCTCGTGGATAACATCCCTGTACAAATAACACCATTCTGATGGTGTGCTTCTTGCCCTCTAGATGGTACTAGGCACCGAGTCTGAAATCGCTGATTAAACTGCCTGCTGTCAATAACATTTTCAGGCTCTGGGGGTTGTTAGAAAACCTCTTGGCTTTTCCATGGCTTTGATCCATATCCAGCTTTATAAATAGGTGGGTTTTGTGCCATTCAGTGTCACTGTTAGTTCAGCATGGGGAATGGTGAGATGCAGATTAAAATAACGAGCCTGGAGGCAGAGAGAACGTGTGTGAGTCTTGAGTGCTGCCGCCTTTGCTTTAGACAACACGTTGTTCAACCCCCGTATAGAGAATGACCCAGTTCCTATAGGGGCTTTTTTTGTGTTGGATCCTTATTAGACTTGGCTTTTATAATTCCTGGAGGCTTTGGGGTATATAGAGGGAACACACATCAACGCCTTCCTCCTTGATAAACAGAGAGCAGCTCATGGTGCCAGGCAAAGATGTGTACATTGGATATCATCTGTAGCTAGGAAATTGTTTGTCTGGCTCTGAATTCTCTCCTGGTCTGACATTCTGCTTTGCTGGGCTTTCCCCTGCAGACACACCAGAGCAGTACCAAAGGGCAGCAGAGCCATCAGGCCACTGATGGCCGGGCCACACTGTCACCTCTTCCCAGGCAGAGGAGCTGGGAAAGGCTTGGGTGAAAACACAGACTGGAGCTGGTCAGTGGGAGCTCACCTGGAAGGGATCAGGCAGGGCTTTGTTAAATCCCCCCTTTCCCCCCAGCTTTAGGGCGGGAGGGTGTCCCAGCACAGCCACAGTGCCCAGGGCCAGCTGAAGGGGTGACTGCTGCTGCCTTCCCCTTCTGGGGGAGAATTAAACCAGAACAGCCATTAGCAAAACAAAAGTGACATTGGCAAGTCAAATTTCAAGTTAATTTCAAACCTGTTTGTGATACCTGCATTTCTATAGCAACAAAAATAGGAGGTTTTGCTTACAGTGTCTTGTACATCTAAGAATAGCCACATTTCTACAAAGTTCTTAAAAAAAAGACACAAATGCTAGTTTGGATATTAAGATTAATATATTTAATCTTTCTTGTTTGTAAAACAAGACATAAATTTGTGTATAGATATAACATATATTTTTATTTATATATAATATATACAGACAATAAAAAAATTTTCCTCTGTATTAGACTGAGAGATTTATGGAGGAATGATATAGGCATAACGGGGAGCTTTGAAGAAACTCAGAGTTTCATACTAGGTAATTCCCAGGGAAAAGGAAAACACGTCTCCCTGTCAGCCTTCAGCACTGTAACAGGCATTGCCCACCATGGACTGGAGTCCCAATTGGCTCTTCCACTGGATATTTGCTACATGGTTCTTGAATTCAGGAGGCTGTCCCCAGAGCAGGATGCTCTGTGCCTTGCTGACAGCCATGGGCCAGGGGAGGTTATTGCACTCCGAGGATGCGCATGTTAAAAGCACATTTGTGCATTTCCATAGCTCCTATGGAAGAACGAGACATTTCCAATGTGCATATTTATCAAAAATAATAGAGATGGGAAGCGACTGCTCGCACGGAGATCCCTGATCATCCCCAAGCCTGCGTTGGACAGCTGCCCTCAGCCCCGTGAGGCCAGGGCTGTGCCCTCCTGCCCAGCCAGAGGGGGTGACAGGGACAGGCGCCGGGATCCCGGCGGGACGTGAACTGCAGTGGGTGGCAGGGTGAGGGCAATGCAATGTGTGACCTTGCATTTCTCTCCTCGCTCTGTTTTGGAGGGTGGGTGGCTGCAGGGAAACACCAGTTAAGGCTGTCTCATTGATTATGTCTATTACTACTAGACTGGGAGGAGGAGGGGAACCTTGGGGTGGGGAGGAACACAACTAGGAATCATTTTACCATTCACCCAGGAGTGAAAACAAAAAGTCCAAAACAATCAAAAAACCCCAACTCCAAGTAAATAACCACCTCAGAGAACTAAATAATGCTTCTTATGGCAGCCAGCCTGGAGAAGACAGAAAAAGAACCCCAATACCCTGGCAAGGAGGACAGCCCCTGCCTGACTCACGGTCAGAGCCGATCCAGGGCTCCTCTCTGATGGTCACAGTGAAAAGAAATAGAAGAGGGTTTGGTCTGAGCCTTGGGGGCATGAACCTGACCTCTGGAGAATGGTGTGAAAGTGGTCTCTCTCCCTGCAGCTGCTAGCCCACCTTCTGGCTTGCAGTGGTCAAAGATCAATCAATCTGGGTTCCTTGCAGGGTCTCTAGCATGGATTCAGCCATCCAGAAGAGGAATGCAGAATTGTTATGGTTGAAAAAGACCTCTAAGATAATTGAGTCCAACCACTCCCCCAGCACTGCCAAGGGCATCACTAAACCATCTCCCCAAATGGCACAACTAAAGGTCTTTTAAACACCTTCAGGGATGGTGACTCCACCACTTCCCTAGGCAGCCTCTTCCAATACCTGACCACCATCAGTGAAAAAATTTTTCTCACATCCAATCTAAACCTCCCCTGGCACAACATGAAGCCCTTTCTTCTCATCCTGTCTCTTGCTACCTGGGGGAAGAGACCGATCCCCACCCGGCTGCTTGCAGAGCCTTCCTGCCCTGCAGCACAACACTCCCACGACACTGGTGTCACCTGCAGAGCGAGGGTGTCCTCGAAAGATACTAAACAGGACAGGCCCCAGCACTGAGCCCTGGGGAACACCACTGGTGGTGGCCCCAGCTGGGTTTAACTCCATTCCCCACCACTCTCTGGGGCCATCCATCCATCCATCCATCCATCCATCCATCCATCCATCCATCCATCATCCATCCAGTTTCTCCAGGAGAATGCTGAAGAACACAGTAAAGAACACAGTGTTAGATTTTTTACTAAATCTAGGCAGACAACATCCACAGCCTTTCCTTCACCCACGGAAAGTCACCCTGTCAGAGAAGGAGGCCAGGCTGGTCAAGCAGCGCCTGCCTTTCCCCTGTGCTGGCTGGGCCTGATCCCCTTGTCCTGTGTGTGCCATGGGATGGCACTCGAGATCATCTGCTCCGTGACCTTCTTGGCACCGAGGTCGCACTGACAGTCCTGTAGCTCTGGACTGTCCCCACTTGCAGGCATTAAGCCCTTGCCTTTGAGGCAGTGCCTGTGCTCAGGACCAGAGCACTGGGGCCTAAGCTGTGAGAGCAGAGCCCAGTAGGGTGCCCTAGCTCTGTGCCAGCATTATGGCAACCTGCCCCTGCTAGGACTGCTTCCCAAGCCCTAGCACAGCAGCAGGGGCTTGCACCCCAGAGATCCCTTCTGCTGCTAATTACGTTGTGTTTGTGGGCCAGGAAGATCCTGGAGGCAGAAGAGTTGTTTACGTGGCAAGACACTGGTTTGGTTCCAGACTGCCCAAATGAAGCCAGGAGATCTCAGCTCAGCTCCTGATAGCTCACTGGCCCACCACAAACTGTGACAAAGGTCTGCAAGGTTCTGGTCTCTGCAAGGTCCAGAACCCCATGGAACCAAACTGGTGTGGAGATGGGGTGCCTGTAGCTCCCAAATACTGTCATCAACAAGCCAGTGTGGGACAACAAGCAGAGAAGCTGCTTGAGCCCCTGGACCAGCTGATGGCCCAGCTTGTGACAGGGCATGAATTCACCCTTCAAACCCATCACCAACACCACCATGCATTCTGCAGAGATCAAAGAGTGTCTTGGCTATCGCAAACCCTGGTCAACGTGGGCCTGCAGGCATCGCATCCTCACCAGACTGTGAGATTTGGGAGCATGGCCTGGCACACACTGCCTTGTTGGTCTTCACAGCTGGCTTTACTTATTGATCAACGTCTTCAGGGAGCGTGTGAGGGTGCTCATGACAGTGGCGACCGTGGCTGACTGGCGGGCGAGCTGCTCCACAGTCTGCTGGTGGCTCAGCGTTCTGGCCGTGGACTCCTCGGCAGCCTTCAGGAGGAAGGTGTAGTTTCTCACCACCTCCTCCACCTTCGTCAGCAGCTCTTGGCGCTGGGACTCCGAGCGCACGACGTACACCAGCCTCACAAAGGTCTCGATGAGGCTGCTTAGCACCTGGAAGCTGCTCGTGATGGCAGAGAGCATGTGGGTGGGACTCTTGTCAACAGCGGCCACGCGGCGGCAGGACGCCCGGAACTCCTTGAACTTGAGGGCCAGCTCCTGCTTGTACTCAGCCAGCTGGGAGATGTAGGGTTTGCAGTCCCGGACCTCAGGGCTCAGCACACACTGCCTCAGGATGGTCAGGAGCTCGTTGGTGTCCAGCTGCACCTGCAGAAACCCATTGGGGAAGCTGTAGGCATGGCCTCGAAGGGTGTTGATCTTTGCCAAGCTCCCCTCAAAACTGGAGGTCCTTAAATCTATCTCCTGGGTCTGGCTCTCATTGGGACTGCTGCAGGCTGTTGCATCCAGGACCTGAAGAGTCCTGCTCATGACTGGGACCATCTGATTGTCCAGCTTCATTCCCGGGAGTATCTGCATGGGGATGGAATAGGACAGCTCATCCTTCTCGCTCCCATCATCTGCAACATCGCATTTTCTGTAGTAGAAGCAGTACCGGATGGAGCAGCACTTCTCATCCTCCATGTCTTCATCCCGCAGCTCAGCAGGACTTGGGTACATCTCCTCCTGGACAGAGAACACTGCTGAACCCTTCTGGTTCTTTTTGTCCTGTGCTATCTGGACATAGGAGGGGTCAGCCACTCCAGCGGCTTCCTGGATTTTGCTCTTCAGAACAGGACAGAGGATGCTGGGCTCAGGCTCTTTCTGGGGGCCTTTCTGCTTGGTTGTGTAGATGTTCTGGTAGACGTCAGAGGACAAGGATGTCCTTTCAGTCTTATCTATTTCACTGACACTGTAGCGACGCAAGAGCTTCCTGTATTGGGGTGCACCCATGCACTCCCCTCGGGAGGTACATGTTGTCAAACAGGACATGCCGTTCTCTGGATCTGACCGGTTGTCTCGGGACTCTAAACTTGTGGATCGTATCCGTTTGCCTTTGGAAGGGCTGCTCATGCTGGTCAGCCTAATGGCTTCCACCTGCTTCTGGTCATCTGGAACTTTATCCCTGCCTCGCCTCTCCACTTCTGGTACCACCAGCTGGTTGGGGGGTGGCCTCATTCCCCTGCAAATCCGCTTGCAGTCACAGCTACGCCTTTGCTCCCTGGACATCCCTGGGACTTTTTGCACGGGACTGCTCCTCAGCTGGCAGCTGCAGCGCCCAGGGGCAGGCGGGTGCAGGTACTCCTGTGGTGGGAGGTCACTTTTGCTCTTTGGCTTGAGCAGCTCTTCAAGGAATTCCAGCTCATACTGCTTCACCTTCTGCAGCTGGGCCTGCCGCTCATCGGTCTCCTTCTTCAGCCGGGTGGGAAATGTTGCAGAGAACAGGTTCCTAAGCCTGAAGGGAGCTTTGGGGGCTTTGGGTTTAGCTGGGACATCAGCATCTTGTTGGGTTACCTCCAGGACTTTCTCTACTTTTTTGGAAGGCACAGTGCTAATCTGCAGGCTCTCGGATCTGGGCATCAGCTGGATTGGCCCTTTGGCTTCCTCACTGGTGCTCCTGAAAGTGCTACCAGGTGATGGAGAGTGCACATTGCTGCTCTCAGCTTTTAAGACTTTGGCCGAGCTTTCCTGTTGTATTTTCTGTCCTTGGTTTGAAGGAGCTGAGTGTTTCTGCAAGACGAGGCTTGTGGCTTCCCCACCTGCCTTCTGACCTGTCTCTCCGCTTGCAGCTTTTCCTGGAGCATCTCTATTCACTTTTTGCTGGTAGCTTTTAGAGGCAAAAGTCTTACTGGACATAATTTCCTCACCTGCTGAGGCAAGGTGGAAAGCTTCAGCCTGACTGCCAGGAGCTTCCTTAGGATTTGGAGAAACTTCACAGTGCTGCTGCAGAGAGACTTGCTGCTGCTGCTGCTGCTGCTGACAGTTGCATAATGTCTCTGCAGTTTGTGGACCTCCTTTAAGTGTCAAAGGCTTGCTGCTGGCTGATGCACAGCTGCTGGTACCATTCATGTTCTGTTCTTCTTTTAAGGCTGATACCACTTGGGGAACTGAGGCTTTTGCATTTGCCACCTGCTGCAGAGCAGCTGAAATGATGGCTGGAGTTACGCTGCTTTTCTGATCCAGGAGCAGCTTGGAGCTCGGCTGCACCTCTTTGGGCATTTTCTCTTGTAGATCCTGTGCCTGCTCCCTGCTCGGGGCTGCTGTGGCATGCAGAGATACCTCAAAGGCAGCTTTTGTGTGACCTGCAGCTTTGCACTCAGAGCTTGGCACTGAAGCCCCCTTGCTCTGCTCACTGAGCTGGGGGGTCAGGGCTGGCTGGGCAGCCGAGGTGCAGCTCCGCTCCCCGTGCTGCTGCTCCTGCTTGCTCTTGCAGTTGGTAAGGCTGGGACTTTGGGTGGAGAAGGCTGGCTTCAGTGAGGAGCTGGGGTCCTGGCGGCTCAGGGGGTAGGGGGAGGTGAGAACAGCCTGGGCAGCACAGCTCTGGATTCGGAAAGGCAAGTCCTTCCTGGCCAGGAGGTTGTCTTTGTTGATGTGTTGGGTGAGGAAGTAGGCTGCGTTCTGATGCTGCTTCATAGCAGAGACCATCTCCGAGACATCGGTCAGCTCCGAGGAGTTCGTTTCGTGGCCAGAGTCCAAGGATGACTCAGGAGTGATGGCAGCCAGGACAATAAGACCTGAGGAGGGACACAAAGAAAACCCCACAACAACCCTCACACCACAGTGCTGTGTGGAGGAGAGGGGAACTCCTTGCAGCAGGAGGGTCCCAGGAATGCAGGGCACATTGGAGAAACTTCTGTGACTTCTCACAACTAAGAGTTAAGGCTTGTAAGGGAAATCACTTGTCAGCATTGAGCTGGCTTTTTAGCTCAATTCAGCAAGAGCTTCTGGCCCAGGAAAAGATCCTGTGAAGCTTTCCATTGTTGGTGGTAGCAGAGCTATAGGGATGTGTCTGTCACAAGAAAGAAGGAAAACTGGGCAACAGGTACTCTGCCATAGTGAGTAGGGCAACCAAGGTGGGAAGAGGGACAAAGGACTGTGCTGCCAACAGGCTGGTCCCAGAGTCACCCACCTGGCAGCAGGTTTGCCTTGTGAAGGCCTCACACACTGCAAAACCTGGGTGGGAACCTGCAAAGACAGATGGCCAAAGGTCCCAGCTGAGTGGGGTCACAGTGGGAGGAACTCATGCTCACAGTACTGGACGGTTAGAGACGTGCCCCAGCATTGTGGCATATGGCAGATTTGGGATAAAGAGAGAGACTCCTTCAGCCTCTGTCAGGGAGAGGAGTCCCACCTCAGCTTCTTAGAAATCTTCTGAGCAGCAACTTGGCTGCTCCTGCTACAGCCTGCTGCCACAACTTAGTTTTTACTAGAAGCTGCTTCACAGTCACTTATAGGATGGGAGAAGACTACAGGGAAGGATGTACAGTAGGAAAGAAAGGCTACAGGGAAAAAAGGGAGTTACAGCCACTAAAATACCTGCTGTCTGCTGTGGTGGGGGATGTGGACAATCCTCTGAAGCAGCCAGGGCTTCCAGCGCCTGCAGGGTGGACACCAGGGCATCATCCAGCTCTTGGGCGTGGTCTCGGACGGTCCGTGGCTGCACGCTGTCGATCAGAGTGACCGGGATCTCGTCGTAGAGGATGCCACAGAGGTGCCGGCCCTGCTCCTGGCCCTGGGCAGCTGCCCGGCGCTTGGGGTCGTCCTCGTCGGAGCTGTTGTCTCGGAAGCCTGGAGGGGGAGCGGCGATGGCGGGGAGCAGGGATGTTGTCTCGTCTTCTTCCTCGTCATTCCCGGGAGGGGGAAGCGACATCAAGTCCACCGTGGTGTCGCGGGTGCTGCCAGGCTTGCCCCCCGTGCCCGAGGCCAGCCGGCTCTTGATCTTGGCTTGGCAGGACTCGCAGAACAGGTGGGAGGCGTCGCTGCGCAGGTGGGTGTCTATGGTGTGTGCCCTGGCCCTGCTGCCCTGCCTGTCCTGCTCAAGGCCATCCGGGTCGTACTCCTTAGCTGCCCCGTTGTAGCCTTGGCCAGAGCTTTTGGAAGTGGGGTCAGATTTGGTCCTGGGACGAGTTTCCTCAAAAAAAATCAGGTTTTCATTGATGTCCGTCCCGCTCTCTCTTTCCTTCCTCTGCTCTCGCATGTGCAGGTAGCAGAAGCGGATGAGCTCCGAGTCCGAAGCCCTGGTGGCAGAAGCCCCGGCTGCTCCGGTGACAGCGGCAGAGCCACCCACCAGCCCATTCTCTTTCTTTCCCATGTGCCCTGCCGTGGCAGGCCGGTGGAAGTTGTGTGCGTTGATGTAATCTAAACCAAAACCACAACAGGCACATTAGTGTGGTGTTACATTTCAGTTAAATGTCTAGCTATGCTGTGTCTCACCCCTCCAAAATGTACGGTTTATTCCAAGCTGTGATCCTTCCCTGAAGGATCATGTATCTGCAGTCCCACTGGCCCAAGTTTATTCTGTGCCCACCTTGAATCTCCCTGTTAAGCTGTGCAGGGGAGACCAGGCTCTCTCTTGGCCAACCTCTCCCCTAGGCTCTCCCCCTTTCCCCTTCTCCCTCAGTAACCATGCTGCTCCCGGGGGTGGGACCCCCAAAAAACCCTCATCAATCAGCACCCTCAGAAGCCGTGTGGAGTCTCCTTGCCTGCCTGCTGCTGCCAGCCAACACTCAGCTTAGGGGGTCCCTGGGGACCCCCAAATGAACAGCAACACATAGCAGCAGCACCCAGGTGAAGGGAAAACAGTGTGGGGATGCTCCTGCTCAGCCTGGGGAAGCTCCTGTGTGCTCTCTGCCCGCTGCACTGCAGTGGGACTCCCACGCTCCCTGCAGCACAGTCAGCCCACCTGGCTTTGGAAAACCTGCTGGGCCTGTCTGCCAGCAAGGAGGGCAGGAGAAATGTCCTGCACCACAGAAGATGTTGGAAGGGACATTTCAAGGCCGTCTGGTCCAAACCCCCTGCAGTGAGCAGGGACACCAGCTAGATCAGGTTGCTCAGAGCCATGTCCAGCATTCAAGGAAACCTTGAATGTTTCTGGGGATGGGAATCTGTGCCTACACTTCACCACCTCATCATAAAACGTTTCCTCCTTGTATCTAATCTGAATCTACTCTCAATTTAAAACCACTCACCCTTGTCCTATAGCTACAAGCCCTATTAAAAAGCCTCCCTGGAGTATTCTCTTCTCAAGACTAAAACCTCCAACTCTCTCACCTAGGAGAGGTGCTCCAGCACTCTGATCATCTTCATGGCCTCCTCTGGCCTCGCTCCAACAGCTCCATGTCCTTCCTGTGCTGAGGACCCCAGAGCTGCAGGCAGCACTGCAGGTGGGGTCTGACCAGAGTGGAGCAGAGGGGCAGAATCCTCTCCCTTGACTTGGTGTCATCTGCAAACCTGCTGAGGGTGCTCTCAATCCACTGTGTCCTTGATGAGGACATGAAATAGTCCTGGTCCCAGGACAGGTCCCTGAGCTCCATCCCTCTGCCGGGGGCAGGGCTGGGCAGAGCCAGAGGAGGGCTGGCCAGCACAGCTGGCACTGGGACACAGGGATATAGGTGCTCATCAGTGACCCACCAGCTGTGTCCAGAGGGCAGCAGGAGCAGCCTAGCTGCTCCAACAAGGACCTCCAGCCTCAGTCTGCCAGCTCACATGTTACATGGCAAGAAGGAATTGTTGCCATTTTTGGGTAATGTTGGCCACACCAAGCAGTGTTCATTAGGAGACTACTAAAAGTGGAGTAATATTGCCTTTTGGGGAGACATCCACTGTAGTTTGGCTGTGTTCCAGTGACAGCCACCCCCCAGCCCTTGTCCCTTGCTGTCTGTGATCCATGTGCTATTTCTATCTGGCTGACAGCTATTGGATCGGGCTGGCTGTAACAGAGCCTGCTGCTCTTGCTGTTAACTATCTCCCAGTGACAGCCTCCCCTTGTTCCCTTGTGCAGGGAAAGTGGCTGAAATGCTACTTGAATTTCTGGCCAGAGGTCCATCCCTCAGGAGGGGAATCTGTCTGCATTGCAGGTTGGATTGTGCAGCTGTGCTGAGAGCGGCTGCCGGGGGATGCAGGTTCTGTCTGACCAAGGATAAATTAAATCAAATAAATCCTAATTAAATTCATTAGCTCGACAAACTGGACAATTTGTCTCCCCCAACACATGTTTGTATTATACTGTTCATCACCTGCAATGCTAAAATCCCAATAAAAACAAAATGTCTTTGATGCCTGGCCATGGCAGCTGTGTGAGGGAGCACAAGGCTGCCAGAGCTGGGGATGTGTGGGCTCTAGAAGGGTGGCAAAGCTGAGGCAGAGGCTTGCTGGCTGCCCATGCCAAGCCAAGGCCTACTGCTGAATGGGGCCAAACCCCCAAAATCCAGCTGCTGCATGCTCAGGAAGGAGAAAACTTCCTGACAAGGAGCTGAGAGAGCAACTAAGGGCACAGGGCTGCTTGGCTGATGATGGCTGATGGTGAGAGTGGGGAGAAGGAGGGACAGGGAGGTGAATCACCTGTGTAGCTCCAGCATGGCACACTGGAGGGCAAGGCTGTGCCATATGGCTCCACAGGGAAATGCAGAGATGGATCTCACTGACAACATTCAGACAGCGTGTGCATTTCTAAAAATGTCTGCTGTTCAGCAGGAGGCTCTAATGGGCCTCAGGGAAGATGGATGTGCTCCTCTTCTAGGTAAAAGCATGGTCCAAGGCTTGATTTTACATTTAAGATTCTGGCACAGTCTGCCTGCAGCCTGGGAAGTCTGGGCCAACTTAATTCATCCCAGTGGGGCTCTCTCCTGCAAGGATGTGCTAATGATCAGCATCCCTGCTCCCTGTGATCCGCCCAGCTCTGACAGCTCAGCCTGCAGCGCTGTGGAGAGCAGAACTGCGAGCAGACTGTTTGCCCAACACAGCCTGAATCCCCTCCTTCTGAAGGGTGCCTGAGTGCTCTGGCCCTGCAAGGGAACTGCTCCACTCCAGGGGTCACAGAGGCTGTCACTGCACCCAGGAGGACGGACCAGGCCACCCAGAGAGGGGCTGGCACAGATCCACTGCTGTCCTACCCCTGTGACTGCCTCTCACACCCACTCCCACCCCTGCAGAGTTACTGAGATTGGTTACTGGAGACTGACAAGAGCAGGGCAAGATCTACAACTCTTTTTGGTGGAGGTTTGGATGAAGATCCTGAAGAAAAATCTCAGGAAAAAATTCTGGCTATTGTCACTGTAGCTAGAATGTGGAAAAATAAAATTTGCACATGCTGAGGCATCCCCTGAGAGGCCAGGAACTGTGGGTTCTGCCAGTTTCCTTCCAAGCCCTAGGGTGTGGGATGCTCTCCACTTCTCTGACTCCCACAGCCATGTGCCCCCTGTGTCAGGGTGGCATAAGCCAGGGAAGGACCATTCTGATAACAGCTAAACCAGTTCAGTTACAAACACCCTCTGCTCACAGCAAAATGTGATTAAATGAATTTCCGTAGGGCAACCAGGGTAGAGCATAGTGACAGCTGTCAGTCAGAGGCACACAGGAAGAAAGGAGAGGAAACTGTTCATACTTACACCAAAATCACCTGCCAGGCCTTTTCTGGATTCACTGAGGTTGCTGCAGATGCTTTCCTGATCCCTCTTGTGAGTGTGTCCTCTCACAGGTGTCAAATCCATGCTTGGGTGCCTTCCTCAAAGGCACCCGTGCTTTCCCAAGGACCCTCTGCGCTTCTCCCACCTCCCCAAGCCAGGCCCATCTTGGGAAGGGAGTTTTGACACTGGCAGCTAAACTGAGGACTTTCACAGCTCTCTGGAGCTGCAGTGTCACTTGGGAGGTCTGGGAGTGACCTTCCAGAGGCTGCTGGGTTGGTATTTTGCCCATCTCCAGTCACTGAACCCATATTTTATATTTCCTATACAAAATATATTGGATGTGAACACCTGGATAGAGCAGCAGCATGTGGCTCATGGGTGGCTCTTGTTTGAAATCACTCTTGAGAATCATTGCTCTTTTTGGAGGGTGACTCACACCTGCAATCCATCCTTAAGGGACAGCACTGGTGCCTGTTGGGACAGAAGCTCCTGCTGTGTCCAGACCAGCCTTCTGCTCCCTGAAAAGCTGGGACAGCCAAGTTCCCTTCCTGAATTAGGAAATCAGCAGAGCAGCCACACTCGCAGGGCTGCCCGTGAGGCTCAGACCCCCAGGCTGGGGGCAGCAGTGTCCAGTGCAGCAGGAATGCAGCCCCTGAGCTCACACACTCACCTGGGAGCAGGATGCCAGCCAGGGAATGTGTGCTGGTCCCTGCAGCACTGCACAGGCTGCTCTGTGAGGGCCCAGCTTGTGGCTGGCAGCCTTACAGGTGTCCTCAAACAGCACCTCCTGGAGCTGCTCCAGGAGCTGCCACCACAGCTCATGGGGAGGGTTTAGGGCCTGAGCTGATACCACAAGTCATTTTGGCTGACCCAAAATGAGCAGCGTCTCCCTGCTCCTTGGTTTCTGTTAAAGAGGGAGTGTGCTGGTCCTCAGGGTGGATGGGAGCAGAGGGGAGGTGTCAGAGAAAGCCTTTCCCTTCCAGATGCTGCAGAGCGCTGAGCACAGGGAGCGGAGGGGGCTGGGCAAGGGGCTGGCACAGAAAGCAGAGGCTGAAACGTACCTGCCTTGATAATCTGAGGTGGGGGTGGCTGGCTGGGGGCCCTGGACAGGATCATCTTCTTAGAGTCCACCAGGAGCCGGCAGTAGCCTGCGATGAGGCAGGCAAAGTTGGTGGCTTCAGGCCACTCCATCAGCAACACCAGCGGCTGGAAGGCAAGAGAGGCAAAGGGAATGAGGGCCACTGGCTCAGCTGATGGGGACCAGAGCTGCACAGGGGCTGTGCTGGGCCCTGCACTGGTGGAACTGGTGAGCTGCTGGTGCTCCCAGCACTCCCAGCCAGCTGCACAGCCTCGCTCCAGCTCACGCGCCCAATGGCTGTGCACAGGAGAGTGCCTGGCTGCAGCTGTGATTCCTGCTTGCTGACTGCCCCAAGGATGAGGGACCCACAGCAACGTCCTTCTGATCCTCTGTCTCCATGTCAGTGCTCTGAGCCCACCTGCAAGCACCTGTTCAACCAGCAGGGCCTTGGGAGCAGCACAGGGAGTTTGGGAGTCTCCAGCTGCCAGAACCCCTCTTTCATTGCAGGCACTGTGTCTCCCTGCTATAAATGAAGATATCTGCTTCCAGAAAGATGCCAAAGGAACCAAACCCCATTACAGGTTCCCCCAGCTACCACTCTGAGACTGTGGATCTTATTTAAACCTAACCCTTTGGAAAATTAAATTTGTGCTTAGGAGCAGATGGTGCCTTCCCTTTTAGGAGAGCATTTATTTGCATGCTAAAAAAGATCTTTGCTTTAAAGAGAAATAAAACTCAGACATGATCTGTGTGACACATGTAACCTCACAGCACAATCTAGCAGCAGACAGTGTGACTCCCAGTTCCCAGATTGTCCCAGGAGATCAGCTAGCCCAGGGAAGCTGCTGGGGTGGGATTCACTGCTACCCACCCAGAGAGGTCCTGGGACTGCTGGGAGCAGGCTGGGCAGAGCAGCCTGTCAGCACAGCTCACTTGGGAGGTCCTTGCTCCATCTGAGTCCCCAGCACTGCTCAGGACAGACCCATGAGATGGAAAAAATTCACAAGTGCCTTCAACAGGCAAAGTGCCTTATGGCAAAGGCAGCTCCTGCCCTCACCTACCCCTTGCACAAAGCACCTCCACCTAAAGGACCTTGGTACCCAGGTACAGGGGATGCTGAACTGCTGCTCTCTCAGGCTGCCTGTCCTGCCACACTCAGTCTCTTGCACACTGAGACCCCTCCAGGACTCAGAAGAACTCATTTATCACATTCAGGGAACACCAAGGCTGTTTTAAAAAACACTTAATCCTACACAGTGTGAAAAGCATTAAAGCTATTTTGGTTGTCTTGTTTTATAACCACAAGAGTTCCTGGTACCCACTGGCCAGTTTTGTGCCCTGGTTAATATTTTCTGCTAAGCCACCAAGCCAATTCTGGCAAAGCAAGGCCCACCTTAGGCCAGTGTCATGCTCTGGACCATAAAGGGAAACAAACTGGGGTGTGAAGCCATCAGCCCTGAGCAGAGCTGCATGAGATCCCCAAGCCATGTCAGCCCCTGGCAGATTTCTCCCAGAGCCAGGGTAAAGAAGTTCCCTCTTTGGCTGTGTGCAGGAAGATAAAGGAAAAGAAATAACTTGATGTGGAAGAGGAGTAGCCTGACAAGTGAATGTGCTCTGCTGAGAGGCTCTGCCCCTGCCTGCTTGACAAGGCTCTTTTTGAATCTTGGAAAATAAACCTGAGATGACACAGATGGCAGCGAAAGTACCAAACCAGAGAGAGAGAGAGGAGTGAAGAGGTTCTCAACATAGCTCAGAGGAGGCAGCATGCAGTGGTGGGGGGTGACACCTCTTAGCCCAGCTCCAGTGCTGACATAAGTGATGAAAGGAAACCATGTGTTCTGTGTGTGAAGCATCCTTAAAACAAGTGGCTTCTACACAGGGCTAAGCCCTCCTGGATTTTTCAAGCCATCTGTTGAATGAGGACATATTTGTGTATTCCCCTGCTCTGTTCTGCAGGGTTTGGAGTGTCAGCAGCAGGAGAGGGAGCAAGTCCCAGGGGGAGGGAGGCAATGGCTGATAAACACCCACTGCTGGGAGATAGATTAAACCAAGAGGCCAAGGTGGGCTGAGAGTCCCCTTCCAAAAGGAAAAGCAGGGGATAGTCTCCACCAAGTGTGAATCCCACCAGGGCAGAGTGGCACAGGGTTGTGAACCTTCACTGCCTCCCTGTCAGTGCTCACCATGCAGCCCCAGGGCAGCTCCAGTGCCCCAGCTGGTGACCAGCATCTCCAGGACCCATTTCCATCTTTGCTCAGTTGCCTCTGCTCAGGATGCTCCCCCCATCCAGGGATGGGACTGTAGGTTCTTGCTGGCAGGACACAGCCCCTGGATGAGTCCTCCTGAAGGGTGACAGGACTGAGGTGCAACAACCCTGACTGGTATTTCTTGACTACAATGAAACACCAGGGTGCTGTGAGCTCCCTACCAGCTCTCCAAGCAAGTCTGTAGCCCTGATTTTTCTAAGTTTTTCTAAGCCTTCTGATGTTTACATTCTTGTAGCAAACTTTCTCACACACTTTATGTAAATAACTTATTGCTTTGCATTCTTTTATGGAGGAGGAGAAATTTGATAGACTGTTGGTTTGTCCAGTGTCATTGGAGAGGTGGCACTTTCACCTACCAATCCACTGTCACCTTTAGCAATCTATAAATGTTGGAGTCAGAAAATAAAGTTCCCCTTTCTACCTTGAGAGCAGCAGCGTGTCCGCGTCGTGTTGTTTGGTGTCCTACAGCGACACAAGTCCAGCCTCCAGAATGGCTCCCAGCAATAAATGCATGGCATGCAGGGGTTAACTGTGGCACTCTGCCCTGAAAAGGAGGAATCTTAAACCTGGTTAATGTAACAGCTTAGAAAAGATTACTCTGAAATACTGACAGGGAAGCTGTGTGAGAGTTCTTCAATTGCCAAGCATTTAAATATTGTTATTGGGGATTAAATCACTTCAGGCGCAGCTTGGAGCCATCCACCCGTGCTGTGGATGTGTCATCTCCTCCCCGTGGTCTGGGAGCCCACAGTGCCTGGGTCTGTGTCCTGCTCAGGGGTTCTGAGCTGCTCACAAAGGCACTGATGGGGAGCAGAGCTGCTGCAGTCAGGCTGTGCCTCTCCCCTGGCCTCGCTGGCTCCTCTGCTGCTCGCTGACAGAGCTCTGGCACAGGATCTGAGCCTTTCCCACACGGGGTTACAGCACTCAGCCTCTCTCTTCCACTCCACTAAGTAGTTTTGCTGAGATTGCAGCAGCTCAGCTGCCTTTGAGATGTCCATCCTGCTGCCACATCCCCCTGAAAGTGGCCAGCAGATCTGGAAGTGATTTGTAGCGTCAAGAGGCAAAGAGACAACATGACTGCAGCAGCTCTGTTCCATTGGGAAACGATTCCACAAGGAGGAGGTGCCGGGGTGGCAGCTAATGGAGGTGTTATTTTTGGGCACTGGCACCCTTGGCCACCCTGTTCCATGTGAGCAAGGCAAATGAGGTGGTGTGGAGACAGCCAGGCACGGGCGAGCTGAGCCAATATTGACTTTGTGAGCAGCTGCACCAAGCATTTCCAGCTCAGGGTGCTGAGGGGTTCACATGGCAAATTCAGGGCAGCTTTGTGGGGAGCTGCTTGAAAGAAGAACAACCCTGATGAACTGCAGTCTGTGCTTTGGGTTTCCTTGGCTTCTGGCAAATGGGATTCACCTCCTTTCCCTTAGAAACATCCTGCAAGAGGCAGTGAGGGGCTCGTGCCTGAGGTCAGGCTGGGGTTTATTGTGAATCCCTCTGTATCTCCCCACAGGGCTCTGCTTCCTTGGCAGGGCAAAGCAGAAATGCCTGTCTGTGTTTTGGCAGCACAGCAGCACCTTTAGGATGAAAACTCTACGTTTTACACAGAAGCAAACTTACTGGGATAATCCTACTGCTCTAAAAATTGGCCAAACATCAGATTCCCAGGTAGAGGTTCATCTCTGACCTGTAATGTGCCAACATGTAAAGAAGCAAATTTTCACACGGATGATCTTCCTACATCTAAATGTGTAACACCAGCCTGAAATTATTGATGGTTTGATCTTTCATGCATAATGGTTTTCCTAGATTTTCTAGGCCTCATGAGGAAAGGACACCTTTTCATTCAAAGTTTCCTGATTGACAACCAGTCTCTCTGTGAAGTAAAACAAAATATGTTTATACTGGCTATAAGAAATGACTTTTGCATTAGCTTATTATTAATAAGGTGATTTTTCTATAACGCCCTGCTTTTAAATAAGATCTCAGTGTCCTTCTGGAGGGTATTTTCTTGCTCAAACAAAGGTCTGCAGGAAATTTTCTGGCCAGGGTTATGCTAGATGATTTTAACAGTCCTCATACTGAAATTAATTTATGACCCAATCTATTCATACTATAACCTCTAAGATTATATGCATTTCCTTTTAATCTCCCCCCTTTATCTTGTACTTTGGGTCCTACCCTGCTGCCTTTAATGCAGTGCAGCAGAAAGATGGGAGATGAATTTACATAATTTATGTTCCTTGGTTTACTTGAGGTGCACTGCCAAGTTTTTATTTAATAATACAGGCACCTGGGCCTAATGAGGCAGCAGTCAATTTTTCACTTCTACTTTGACCTTTCCTTCTCTCCCCTGAAGCATTATTAACTCAGCCCTATCAATACCAGGCTGCTTGTGGCTAGGACCACCATTTCCCACTTGTTGATCAATAAGGGTGCTGCCTTGGTTAGACCTGCAGGTCTCTCCTTCCTTAGAGGGCTGCATTTTTTGGTTGGGTTTGGGGCTTTTTTTTTTTTTTTTTTTTTTTTTTAATGAACAAATCAAATTTGGCTTTACAGGCTTGGAAACTCATCCTTTCCACATGTTGTCTGCCTCTCGTGTTTCTGGCTGGCTCCTCTCCTGAGTGCCTGCAGGCAGTGCTCTGGGTGGTGCTGGGGCTGGGAAGCACTTTGCTTTGTATCCCATTCCTCTGCTTTTCATCCCATTCCTTTGTTTTTCATCCCATTCCTTTGCTTGACATCCCATTCCTCTGCTTTTCATCCCACTGCAAGCAGGGATCTGTGTCTGCCCCTCCCACCCAGGTACCGAGCCAAAGGAAATCTCAATCCCTCCCTCTCCCCCATGAGATGATGATGGCATTTCAGAATGGTTTAATGCAAATAAAGATTAGTTTGGTGTAAAGAATCAGAGTTGCAGACCCATTGTCTCTCCAAAGCCTTGCTCTTCCTGTAGGAGAAATCCCAGGGCTTCAGTCAGTGCAGGAGGAAGCTCAGCCTGGCCTGCCCTGGTGACTCTGCTGTGGCTCCCCACTGTTTTCAGACTGGGGTTTGGCAAATACACATCAGGCACTGGCCTCAGCAGCACAGCACATCCCTGCCCTGATCAGCCCAGGGGGCACAGCCGGCCTTGGGGCTGGCTCCAGCAGGGAAGGCTCAAGGGGTCCTCATCCATCACCTGTGAGAGGAAGGGGCTCCGTGGCTCCTTCCAGCAGGGGAGGAGAGGGCTGAACCCCAGCTGTGCATGGAGCTCTTTTTTCCATGGCAGGCTGGAAGCACGCCCTGAACACCAACACCAGTACCCACATTCCAGGCACAGCAGCAGCAGCAGCCAGGGACCTTTCTGAATTAATTTTTCCTTTGGTTTCCTCTCTCAAGTCTTGATCTCAGCTTAAGCACCGGCTGGCTGCAGGCCCTACTGGGAGACCAAAGTCAATTACCCCGATGCCTTTGATTGAATTGTGCCAGGCAAGCAGCCAGTGGCAGGGGCTCCTGCCCCAGAGCCCAGCACAGGGACAGGGCACAGCCTGGGACTGCTCCTCTGCACAGCCTGTCCAGGCTCAGGTGATCCGGCTGTCCCCAAGCACCTTCTGTCATTCACATTCAGAGTGCTTCAGCAGCCTTTTTCCCAATGTCAAGACTGTTAATAACAAAAAGCCCGGCGGTGTGCAGCTGTGTAAATCAGAAAGGAGGAATGCTCCATTGGAAAAGCCATTTCAGAAAGAACAAGCCCTCTGCTCCCGTGGGAGCTGTGGAGCTGCACAGCCAGGGGAGCCTGGAGCCGAGCAGCTCCCCCACGCCTCCTGCACCGGGGAGCCTCGGGGAGCAGGCACCTCCTGTGCCCCGTCCAGGCTGCCAGGCTTGCCCAGGTGCCAGGCAGGAGAGGCTGACATTGTCCTTCCTGGGATCCTGGGAGGTACAGGAGGCTCTGCACTGCTGCACCAGGGAGGAAGGGAGGTGCATGCCTGAAGCTCGGTTCTGAGCTGGCTCAGAAGCATTGGCCACTCTCAAATGCTGGTCCCAGCAGGAGGAGGAAGCCCCTGGGAGGTGCAGAGCCCCTGAACCTGGCAAGGTGCACTTAATGCATAAAGATCACAGGAGACACCTTGTGCCACCTCCCTGCCCCCAGCACATGCATGAGCTCCAGGATCAGTGCCCAAACATGAGGAGGAAGAAGAGAGAAGCAACAGTCCCAGCAGAAGGAGGCTTTGCCAGGTGAGAATGACCCCTGGAAGCTGCAGATGACCACTTGCAGCACTGCAGTGGTGCAGTCCTGCCCCCAGCTGCAGGCTGGGAACTTCCTCAGCATTCCCAAGCAGAACTGCTCACTCCTTCCCTGACTGTTGAGACAAAACCTGCTCCTGTCCTCCCTGCAGCTCTCACAGACCTGGCAGGGAACAAAAATCCTTGGAACCAGCAGCAGAAGCCTGCAGGTTTCTGTTCTTCTGTCCCAAGGTTGTGTGGATCCTCTCTGAGGGGTTCTGTCAGCATTTGCCCCCCTCTTGCCACAGTGGCAAAAGAAGGCAAAGCAGAGGTCCCAGCCCTGGGTTTGTATCCCTGGTCTGTTTTAAACAGGAATTGAAGCCCAGGATGGAAAAGCTCCAAAACAAACCAATTAACTACCTAGTGAATAATTCATAAGACAAACAGCATTTCTTTTCCGCCCAAAAAAAATGCAAATGGTTTATGATCTCCTCAAGCCTGTTTGTTACCTGAAAATCTCCCCCAGCTCCTTCCTGGCTGAGGGCTGAGGTGAGTCTGGGCTGTGGTTGCAGCTCAGCAGCAGGTAAGGATGTCTGGACTGTGCTGGCTGGTTTGGTCAGGGTGTTCAGACCTCGCAGCTGAGGGCTACTTCATGACCTGACCCCCTTTTTAACCCATTTTAGCTACACTTAGAAATTCAAGATGGTCTTTCTGCACAAAACCCTACAGCATCATTGACCATCTGTGTTTCCACAGTAACTCAGTGAGCACCTCCTACAGATTCAGGCTGGGAGCTGCCCCAGCATCCCCTGACAGCAGCAATGCCAGGCATCAGGGTGAAATAGCCCAGGGGACATCCCCTCCTACACTGCAGCTCTGACAGGCTCCCAGGGGTGACATGGATTTGACAGGTCCCCAGAGCAGCCAGGACACTACTTTGAGCCCTCTAATGGTTTGCAGCTCACAGCAGAAACTGATTGATTTGCAACCTAGGGCTTTAGCCAGTGACACGTTCAGTGCAATAGAATAATGGTAGAGAGCAGATTAGCACTGTGAGGTAATGATCTTTTTGCCTGCTTTTCTTAGCCTGCCTCATCCATCGCTGTCCTGCGTAGGATTAGCATATGCCTCATTTTGGAGCAAACATTCTGCCTTTAAAACCCAGCCCTTCGGATAATGGCTAAATGAAGACAGATAACAGCAGCCTCTGCCCTGGCATGGTGCTGTTGAGCCTGCTGAGATCCATAAATGGGGTGCTTGCTCCATTCCAGGCAGGCAGAGGGGCTTTTGGTGGCCAGAGGCAGCTGCCTGGAATTTCTCCTGGAGATAAAGCCATCGTGCGTGCTCGCAGGAAGGCTGTGAGCTGCTTACTCCAGGGAGCTGGCTTTTCTCCAGCCTCTGGGGGGCTGGATAGCAGGGTCCTGCAGCAGGAAAGGGCTGGTGGAGGCACAGAGTGGATCTCTGCAGCGGGGAATGGCTGTGGGGAGCAGCGGCGCACGATCTGTGGATGAGCTGCGTGGGAATTGCCACCTAATTTAGAGCAGATGGATGCCAGCATCACCTAAGCCTCCAGAGCATCTGTCCCTCCTGTGGCCAGTCTGTGCTGGGGGGAGCAGTGCTCTCTGCCACACCGGGGAGAGCACAGCAGCACCCCAGGAGCTCAGTGCCATGGGGCTGGGTGACACTGGGGACAGCCATGCTCACTCACAGTGAGCCACGAGCAGGAACAGGGTCATGAGCAGCCTGTTATTAATGCATTAAAGTGGTGATTTTATACACACAAATCCAAGGGGCGTGGGCAGCAGGAGGAACCAGCAGGGCTACTCGTGGTGCAGCCAATATCCCACGGTTATTCCTGCTCTGTAAGGAGAAAATTGATGGATTCCTGCACAGCCCAGGCAGCTGGAGGGGCTGGGCAGGAGGGCTTTGAGCAGGGGAGGGTGAGATCTTTGAAGGGTTACCAGGCACAGCAGGACACCAAGGCTTGAACTGCACAATGACTGACCTCGTGGGATGCAGAAGAGGGAATGTTAAAAATGTTACAGTTGACCAAATATCCACTGGATTAGGAATTCAAAGAAAGGGATTTGTGGATGAGGCTGTGGAGGGGAGAGCTGAAGCAGAGGGGATGAGGATTAGCACAGCTCTGGCAGAGGCTCCTGGGGTGTTACTGCAGGTGAGCAGAGCTGCTGGACCAGGCACAGTGGCAGCAGGAAAACAGACTTGGAGGAATTAATGAGCTGGGTAGGAGAAAGTGCTAAAATCCACCAGGACAGGAGGCAGCAGGAGAATCCTAAACAAATCCAGCATGATTACATCTGTGACACTATGACTGAAACAGTGCAAAGAAAGGGCTGCAGGGGGCTGAGGCTTGGAGACCTTGCAGGAGATGAAACGCAGAGACAGCTGGCAAAGCAGCTCAGCTTCATCAGTCTGGGGGGAAAAGGGATGAATGCAGGGGCAGGAAAGCTGACCCACAGCCAGAGGCTCAGAGGGCTTGTGCAGCAGCACCTCCCTGCCCCACAGAGTCCTGGCCCCACAGTGTCTGCCAAGTACTGCTCCTGACTGATTAACTCCAAACTCAATCCTAACTCGGTCCTGTTGAGTTCAAAGAGGGAGGAGAGGAGACTTGGCATTTATCTGTGAGATCTCCGCCTCTCAGCTGTCCTTCCCCAGGGGGCAGGGAGGCAGTGACACCGAGGATGCCCTGGGGACACACACAACTATGTGCCTTTGAGTCTGTCAGTCATGTCCCAGCTTGTTAAAAACCAAGCAAAGGCCAAGGGAGGATCTCCTTAGGATCTTGTGGCTGCTGCACCAGGCACCACTGAAGGAAATAAAGATCTTACTGTACTGCTGACACTTTTCTTGGAGGGTTTGGGACCCTTGAGGGGTGAGAAGGGGTGGCAGGGGCTGAGCACAGGGATTGACTATCAGAAGCAGCACTGCACACGCAACAGCAGGAGATGGGGGATGACAACACAGAGGGCTCAGGAGGGTGTGCCAAGGAGTGCTCTGGGGGCTGAAGGGGGGCATAACAGGGGCAGCTGGCAAGGTACCCAGGGGGTGGCTACTGGGCCAGGGACACACAGCCATCTGTGCTCACACTGAGCCCAACACCTCCTTCCCCTCATTTCCACTTCATTCAACAATCCTGCCCGGCTTGACAAGCTCCACAAGTGCTACTAATGCATGAAACCTCCCAGTCCCCTCCAGTGGCTGCAGCCAGCCCAGCTATGGCCATGTACTGTTCCTCTCCAGCCCTGAGCACAGGTGAGTGCTGTCCTGCCTCCAAAGGGTCCTGCTACCTGACTGGCCTGTGTCACCCCCATCTGCCCTGAGGACCCTGCTTGAACCATTAGCTAGGTGTTTGGGTCATAGCCAGAATGCCACCATGCCTGCCCTGTGGCCCTCAGTCATGGCCAGAATGTCACCATGCCTGCCCTGTGGCTCTCAGCAGCCATTCCTGCGTGGCACAAGGAGTCAGAGCAGCAGGGGAGATGCTGCAGACCCTGGTGTGAAGGGGTTTTGGATTCTCTAGGAATCCCCAAGCAGATTGTCCAGCACACAGCTGTGATGTGAATCCCCTCCAAGGCTGGCCCCAAAGCCCCAGTTTCATCTCCATGGCACCCATTCCTACCTTGGCATCCAGGATGCTCGTCTCTACCCGGGCCACGCCCTGGTTCTCCCTGAACAGCTGGATCTTGCTGACCTTGCTGAACTCTGACAGCACCGTGGTGAGGTTGGTCTTCAGGTCAATGACGTGGCTGATGCCGTGCCGGGGTCCCACCAGCAGGGTGGTGGCTGGCTGCTTCTCGTCCTGCTGGCACATGGGGAGAGAGAGAGAGAGAGACAGGCAGGGTGAACAGACACTCCCCAGCGTGGCACAGCCTGCACCTGGCTCTCTCCATGGAGCCAAGCCTCAGTGCTGGCAGCCTGGTCAGCTCCAGGATGGCTTTGGTAGAGCAGTAGGTAAGGTTAGTGCCACGTTAGTGCCACCAACCTGCCTCCCTGAGCCCCGTTGCAGAGCTGGGAGTGATCTGCAGGATGCCAAGGCTATTTAGAAGTAAAGCCCTGAACTGACTGTCCACATGAAATATTCAGGCTCACTGGTGTCACTACACTAAAGCAAGTGTGTTACAAATTTGTCTGATCTGACATTGCCTCCAGAGAAGGAAGCAAAGGAGGGAGTGAATGGATTTTAGAAAAGAAGAAAGACCAAAGCCTTGATTGGAAATCAGGATGTTTCTTGCTCTGGTCTAAAAGGATGCTTCAAGCCAGACGTGGAGGGGAAGAGGAGCTGGGCAGACCCTTGCAGAAGATAATAAGGGAATACTTTTTACCACTTCAACACAGTTCAACTCACAGGCTGGCTCAGAGGCATTGCTTTGGTGTCAGAGATAAAAACAAAAAAGCTGTGTACTCAGGCAGTGTCAGGGGCAGGCTCTGACTGCTCTGCCGTGGCACCAAGCAGACACCACAAGGTTTCCTGCAGGCAGCCCTTTGAGCTGTGAGGTGAGGAGCAGAGCAGACCAAAGGCTGCCAGAGATGGAACCCAGTAGGCAAAGCATGGGAAGCCAGGGAAGTGCTGAGACCACGGGTGGGGGTAAAGGGAAGGATGGCAGAGAGGTGACACCTGCGTGGGGACCTCTGCGGGGGAGGTGGAGTGAGAGGGATGAGGGGTGAGCCAGCTCCTCTTTGGGCTGGTGGCTTTCCTCCTGCTGAGGTGGCTTGGGTGAGCAGTGGAGATGAAGGATCACTGTGGCAGGGATCAGGCTGCAGCACCCATGAGAGGACAGCAAGCCCAGCTCTGGCAAGCAGGGACCACAGTGGCCTTTGCCAGGAGCTGCCCTCCTCCAGGATGGATGGCAGGATGTGCCAGAGCACGATCTAGCTACAAACACACGCCTGAAACTCCTCCAACTTCACTGAGCAGGTCACCTCTCTGCCCCACAGGCTGGCAGGAACAGAGCAGACCCCAAAACCCAACCTGCTGACAGCAGAGCCTCCAAGACTTTGCGTGGGCTCGGAGCTCAGCAGGGCAGAGCAAGAGACTGAGGGGAGTGGTTTCTGTGGGAGCCACACATGCCCTGGCTCCCCCCAGCACAGTCAGGAGCAGGCACCTCCCAGCCCAGCCTGGAGTACCATACCAGCCCCACGGTGTTGAAGAGAACCCCAGCGAAGGTCGGCAGCTCGTTCAGGATCCTCAGGTACTGCAGCTTTGCCTGGGCTGTGGAGACCTGACAAAACACCACACAGGTGATCACCGTGAGCACAGGAAAAGAGAGGCAGGAGGCTGGGGCAGACCTGGGGCTCTCAGCTAGGGGGGCACAGGGAGTTGCCAGGCAGCTCTGGGCATGGCAGCGAGTCTGAGTCGTGGGTGAGGGGGGTCTCCACTCCCCTGCCATCCTGGGCAGCTGTTGAGAGGTAACTCAGAGCCCCAGTGCTTGATGTATAACTCTCCTGAGATGCACAACCCTCCCTCCCTCCCTGGGGAGCTGTGAAGGCTGCAGGGACCAAGGCGATGGCTCAGCTGCCAGAGCTCTCCAAGCCCAGGAGCAGAGATAACAATGAGCTGATGTGTGCCACTTCAGCCAAGCCTCAGCTGATCTCAGCCCTGATCCTCACTGCTCTCCCTGCAATCCACATCAGCTCCTGAGAGCGGATTCAGGAGAGAGAGAGTCTACCTGGCTGTCTGGGATTTATCTCCCATCCCAGGGGATTTAATGAGTCCCGGAGGAGCTGGGGACAGCAGGCTGGGGTGGAGGGCAGGCTGCCACCCCACCAGCCCTGACCAGGGACCCTGTGGGCTGGGCTCACCTTGGTGCCGCCAGGCTGGTGCTGGTGGGCTTTGAGCTGCTGCGAGAGGGATTTCCGGAGGCTCTTCTCTTTGATGAGCTGCAGCAGCGAGGGGGGCAGGAAGGGCTCCAGGCCCCACTCTTTCCTGTGGGGAGGGAAACCTGCATGAGCTGCCAGGTCAGAGGCACTGCCAGCGAGCAGAGAGGGACACAAAACTGTCCCAGAGCATCCTCCTGCCGTCAGAGGGAGCCGGAGCCACACCAGCACTTCCTTGGCACCACAGCCAGAGCAGCAGCAGCCCCCAGCTCGGGTCCCCAAGGGGATGGGACCCCAGGCTGGTGACACAGCTACCAGCTTCAGGTTGGGGAACAGCAGTGCCACGCTCTGCTGCAGACCCCAGCTCCCACTCACCTTCATGTAAACGTAGGGATGCAGGGCAAATTCCCAAACCTCTTTTGGGGTGACCCCTCCCTCCTTCCTCCCTGTGCCGAGTGGGCCAAACCAGCCTGCACAGATGGGCTGGGTATGGGTTTAGGTCCCCCAGGAGCCACAGGAGGGCTGAGCCAGTCGCTGGTGACAGGCTGAGATTACACGGCCACAGAGCCTTCTCCTTGCCTTGGATGCAGGCAGAAAACCAGCCCAGGTTCCCATGGAAATGATCCTGGGCTGACAGCAACTGTGCCCAGCCCTGGCTGCTGCACGTCAGTGTGAGGGGTCTTACACAGCCCCGTGGTGGGACCAGGGCTGGCTGTCACTGCTGCCAAGCTCCTGAGCCACCGCCCAGCTCAGAGCATCTCATGCTCCACACCCCAAAACATCGCTGGGACACAGGGAAGGGACAACACAGGAGGGTGTGTGGAAGCCTGGGGGCAGGGAGGAGGACTCACTCCACATTCTTGAGGGAGACCTTCTGGCTGGGGCGGGTGGCAGAGACAGTGATGTAGATGTGGAGGGCAGCCAGCCCCAGCAGCATCTCCGGCTTGGGGTCTGTGCCGAAGCGCTCTCTGATCACATCGTTGCGGCTCTGCGGGAGGGAGAAGAGGTGTCCTCAGACAGCCCCAGGGACAGCCACTGCCACCTGAGGGGTGCCACCACAGCGCCCAGCCTTGGCAGACGTGTGGGCCACGAGCACCAGCAGCCCCCAGTCCCTACCTGGATGTACAGGTACTCGAAAGCTGCAGGGTCCCGGCGCAGCAGCTCCACTGGGTCCTTGGGGAAGAAGCTCACACGGAAGAGGCATCTCATGCCGTGGTAGTGTGTCCTTTGCACAACCTGTGGCAGGAGCAGAGGGGAGCAGTGAACCCAGGAACTGTTGGCTGCAGGGCACGAGATGCCCTCTCCTCTCTTCTGGCATTGTATTTCATTTCTCTCCTCCATGCACCACCTTTCATCCCAACATCCCAGCCTTCCTTGGTGGGACAGGTTTTTCTGGTGCTGTAGGGTTTATGCCACTCAGGCTAATGTTTGCTCCATGACCCCCATTTTATCCCTGGTTCTGTGCAGCATCAGCTTATTGGCTCTCCCAGCCAAGGATGCTCATGAGTGCAGTCTGCAGCTGCCCAGGCTAGAGCACAGACCAGCTCCATGTGCTGTCAGTGTGGGGTGGATAAAACCCTGATTGTCTCCCTCTTAGACCACCCTTTTTCACCCCTGAGCTTGCAGGACCATGCCAGAGGCAAGGAGAGGCTGTGCCACCCCTCAGCACAATCCCAGCCTGTTGCAGCATATGTCACCGTTGAGATGGCCACGACACACAGAGCATCACCACACAATTTCAGAAGGCTTCAACTCATACAGAGTAACCCATACATCAGATCACTTCAGAAAGTAGTAAGCTGTAAGCATCTCCTCTTTCTTGTTCTTCAGCCCAGCCTTTTACACCCCTGATGTTGATGCACTGCCCCTGTGTGCTCTCTGCTCCCTTTGGTGGGTGCTCAGCACACCTGGGCACCCCATGGCTCGCTGCTGTCAGTGCTGCTCACAGCTGTGCCACTGGGGATGAGGCTGGGCCAGCCCATCCCATCCCAATGACCCCAAACTGTGTGCCTACACCAGCCGAGCCCACACTGGGGGAAGGGAGGCCCTCTGTGCCCAGCCCCTCACCTCGGCCATCCCACACCCTCCCACAGCCAGCAGCTTACGTGGGCCAGCGGCTGCTTGTCCTGGAGCAGCAGGAAGCGGTGGCTCTGCTCCGGGCTGGAATACTCCAGCACCAGGGCAAAGTGCTCGATGTGTCTCAGCGACAGGCGGTCCTGCAGCGTCACCATCACGTCCTGCAAACGCACGGACAGGCTTGGGTGCCAGGCACTGCTACTTCCTGAGGGGGAGCTGGGACCTCACTGAGAGCCCACTGGTCCCTGGCAACCGGGGCAGTGCCAGGATGAGTCTGAGAGGGTGCACAGGATGGTGCCAGTGACCGTGCAGCGGGAGGTGACCAGCAGCCCCTGGGCTAGCCCCGGGTGGTGCTGAGGGAGCTGGCCCCTGGCAGGAGATCCAGCCTGGTTGGAGGGCAGGCTCACAGCCAGGAGAGAAGTCAGGAGAGGCAGAGCCAGCAAAGCCCCATCCCTGCCAGCTGCAAAGCGTGCTGCCTGGGGAGGCAGACAGGCCATCCATCATGCCAGAGCAGCTCGCAGCCAGCCCAGCGCTGCTGATCGTGCTCGGGAAGCAGGAGAGGAAAAATGGATCGGGCAGGTGGGAGGAGAGGAGAGGAGAGGAGTGCCACTGAGCCGTGGGGGAGAGGAGGGGCTCACCTTCACAGTGGTTCGGCCATCGAACGTGAAGGATTTGATTTGCCCGTTCTCCAGGAAAACCTTCAGCACGTTGGGAATGAGGAGGAGAGCTTCTTTCTTCAACATGTCCTGGCATGTGGGGCCAGCAAAGGGGGAGGCGAGGAGGGTGGGGGGGCACGGAGAGACGGAGGGAGGGCGAGGAGAGAGAGAGTGTCAGTGATGGAGCGCTCGTGGCATCCTCTGCTGCACTGGGCTTTGTGCTAAGAGGCACATTTCCCCTGAAAAGCCAGCGTTCCGTTGAGCCATCAAGAAGCGCGGGGCTGAGGCAATTCAGAGCTGCCTGACAGATTCACCTCCCCGGCTCCCAGCAGCTGCAGCAGGAACAGAGCCCCTGGCTCTGTCCAGCACGCCCCGGTGCCCATGCCCGCAGCCTGTCCCGCTGCCCAGCTGCTGGCCCAGACAGGAGGTACGTGGGTGGCTCAGAGCTGATCCCCTTTCCTGACCCTCACCCCAAGCCTATCTCCCCTCAGCCCTGCCCATCCCCTCTGCAGGAAGTTGGGAGAATGCTGATTTTATTTGGTGAGAAGATTTTCAATCAGATAATTACCTAATTGATTTTGTTTAAAAATAGAACGTGCTAGAAACGCTTTACAGGGTTTTTTTTCAGTTTTGTTTTGTTGTTAATAAAACCTTCCTGCAACTGAGAGATAAAAGCACTGGGCTGGAACTCTTCAGCTTCCACAGCCATTCAGCAGTGCCCTGGTCACCCTGCCCCACAGAGAGGCACTGCAAAGCTTTTGGGATCAGGCTGGAAGCCACAGATCTTCCTTAGAGCAGGCGCTGCCCTTGCCTGGATGCCTCCCCTGGCTGCTCAGGGGGACTCAGTTGAGACCAGGTTTCTGAGCCAGTTTTTGGGGCTCCTTCAGAGGGACAGGGGACAACCACAGAAAGTCCCCCCAGCAGTGACCCAACACACCGACTGTGCCCAAGGACATCAGTCCTGTGGGGCTCCCCAGGCCAGACAGCTGCTCTCAGCTGCAGAGCCTAAATCAGGGAAGAGGAGCCCCAACCACCCCACAGCCCCTGGCGCTGGGGATACCTCAGGGCGTGAAGCACAGGGGAAGGCAGGGCAGCACTTACTGGGTCTGTCTCGCCGACTGTCACCTGCTCAGAAAATCGGACTTTGGCCGGGTTGGACCTTAGCTTCGCCTTCTTGGCTGCGCTGATGAAAGCAGATTTGGGAGACTGGAAAGAGAGCACTGGGTAAATCACCTGCCTGCCCTCGGAGCCATGGTGTGGGGAAAGGCAGACACACTGAGGAAACCCCTCTGGAGCCAGTGTGATGATGGGGAGTGGGCAGCAAACCATGAAGTGGGGAGGGTGGAAAGCAAATCCCCTTGGCTGTGGTTACACAGAGCTGCAGGCAGGGCCAGGACGATGAGCAGCAGCCCCTGAAGTCACACCAGCAACATCAGGGGGGCAGGGAGGCTGCACCCCAGTGAGCACCTGTGCCTGGCACCCCTTGTGCAGGCTGAGCTCCAGCAGATGTCAGCCAGGTCTTGCCTGGAGGCACTGGCAGCAGTTGGATGAGATGAACCTCCTGGATGTGGGTTTGCAGCCCCAGGGAGATGGCAGCACCCCGGGCATCCCTGCAGGATGTTCTGGTGGCAGTGCCTGCACTCACTCCAGCACAGAGCCAGTCGTGCCATGGAGCTGCGTGTGTCTGATGGTGCCAGCACCAGCTGAGCTGCCTGTCCTGGCTGGCAGCCACCCCGGGCCGGGAGGAAAAAAGCTTTTTGGAGTGTGGCACATAGCCCTGCTCCTGACAGAGCAGCGCTGGGTGGGGCACCTCCTTCCCGGAGAGGAGGGGAGCACAGGGGAGCTCTCACACCTCTCTCCGTTCCCAGCATCAAAGACTCGCTGAAGCACAGGCGGTGCCTCTGGCGTGACAGTTCAGTGTGTCCCAGTGCACCACGGCTGCTGTGCCCGCAGCACCCCCAGCCCTCCTGCAGCCGGCCCTCCCAGCTCCCCAGGGACTCCCGGGCCAGCAGCGACCCCTCCCTGCCACCTCTGGCTCCATGGGTTACTCCATCACACACACGGGATGTCCTCGCAAACCCTATGGGTCTGGGGATATTTCCCCTCCCTCCCTCCTGGTGACAAGGACAGGGAGATGGCTGCACGCCCACTGACCCCAAGGGGCTGTGGCAGCCCTCAGACCCCACGGCTTGGGAGAGCCTCGGGGTGGTGGGACGTGGCTCCAACAAATCTGTTGAGCTGCCTGAGTGGTCTCCCAGGGTCTCCAGGGACCCCACCTCTGTCTCCAAAAGGGCTTTTCACCCTGTCCTGCCTCCCCTGGAGCTGGCCACGGCCCTGCCAGTCTCACCTGGTGGGTGTGCAGGACCGTGAGGATGATGAAGTCCTTGGCCTTCCTGTGACAGAAAGGAGAAATGAAGATGGATGGGACCTTATGGTGATGGACCTCAACACGTGCAACTGGTTGCTGAGAGCACATCCCACCCTTCCCAGCCCAGGGGTGGCGGGGACCTTTGTGGGCTCCTTGGGGTGCTTGACAACGTGGCTGTGGATTCTTTCCCACTTCTTGGCCAGCTGGAAACGGCTATGGCACTTGCTGCAAGGCTCTCCCCCTGCTCAGGCTGAGAATTCCCCACCCCAGCAGTGACCACTGGTGACGTGGGTGTGCACTGACACTGCGAGGCTTTGGCAGGGGCACAGCAGCCTGGCAGAGCCCCTCCCCAGAGGCGTTGTCCTCACCTGACAAGCTCGATGAATCTCTCTCTGGGGGCTTCACTCACATCCTCATCGTTGATGGCCAAGATCTGGTCTCCTGGCAGGAGTTTATCCTCAGAGGGGCCGCCTGCCAGGAGAGAGGGTCAGGGCCAACCCAGGCATCCCGGAGCTGCGGGGTGGAGGGGAAGCAGGAGGGTCCCAAGCATCCCCAAAGCATTTGCCCACGTATGTGACTGTGGAGGATGCCCTGCAGACCCAGCAGAGGGGACAGGAGAGCACAGGAGCCCAGGGAGGGGTCCCACGGGGGGAAGTGCTGCTGTGTTTCCCGGCACGCTGCAGCTGTGTCCAGGAGCACCCCACACCCTACCTGCCGCCACCGACCGCACCACCACGGGCCTCTCGCTGCCAGCCACAAAGCCGAATCCGTAGAGGGGGTGGCGCTGGACCGTCACCTGTCGGAGCGTGGCCGAAGGCAGCTGCCCACATTCCATATCATCGCCACCGCGCTCCTCCGGCATCACATGGCTGCGCTGCAAGCACAGGCACAGGCTGTGAGCGCCCCAGCACGCAGCCCTGCCCGCCACACCGAGCCCTCCGGGCTGCAGGGCACCCCGCTCACCTGCAGCGCTCCCAGCCCCTTCCTGGCACGGCCTCAGCCTGCCGCACAGAGCCGTGCTGCTCAGTGCCCGTCCCTGCCACAGCACCAGCAGCTAGGCAGGGGACACTGATGGAGATGTCACTCAAGGGTGAGTCACACCATCCCTTCCCAGCCCCTCACTGCCCCAGACCGCACTCCTTAGATGGGAGATCCCTGTGGGGTTAATGACTGGCGGTGTGGCTCTGGCCATTCCCTGAGGGTCAGGGGAGACAGCAGCCCTGCCACTGAGAGCTCTCTCTGCCATTCTGCAGAGCTTTAACAGCAAACCCCAGGGTTGGCTTATTCATGCTGTGTAATACAGCTCAACAGTATCAGAGATAAGTGAAAACAAGTTTAGCCAGTCTAAAAACTGGGATTAAGGCAGGCTCAGCTGTGCTACTACACCCAAATCTCCACCATCAGCCCAGAGACTCCTTGCAGTGGAGACAACCAGAAGATGGGAAGATCCAGCCCAGGGCAAGGTCATGCCAAAGCTGCCCTAGATGCCAAAGCATCCCAGAGCACTGCCAGCCATGGCTCCAGGCTGCGAGCCTGCCATGGGGGAGCAATCCCAGCACCACGGGGCACCACAGAGCACAGCACAGATGGCAACACGCACAGCCCAGCCAGAAAAACAAAGTGGTGAACGTGCTGTTGTTTCTGTGCTGCTCATTGCTTGTTCCTGTCCAGACTATTTAGTCTATTTAAAAGAGATCCTTCCCGGCCTTTTGACAACACACCAATTGTTCCATCTCTTATCAGTTTAGGATTTGATGCATCATCCATCTAATGCTATTTGTCTGCATTTCTGACACCCCCACCTGCTCCCAGCGCTGCGTTTGGCACCTGCTGCACAGCCAAGAGGGACAAGGAGGGGACAGGAGCTCCTGGCAGCTCCACATCAGCACACACAGCTTGGAGCTTGAGGACACCACGGTCAGCAAAGACAGCCCTGTGCCAAGCCTGATCCCCAGGTAACCACCCAAAACCCTCTGAGGGAGAATGCCATGTCTGCCATGGGAACCAGGAGAGCTCTGAGCACAGGTGAGCCTGCCCAGGGTGAGGGATGCAGCGCTGGCCACGGGTGGGCTGTGCTCTGTGACGATGGGATGTCACCACAGCCAGGTGACCATTCCCAGCGCCCAGCTGGAATGGGGCTGGTGGCTTTCCCCTCCCGCCTGCAGCAGCACATGGCTGGAGAAGAAAACAGCGAGGCCTGGGGAGGGGAACTGGTGAGGAGCAGCAGGGTGCGGGCAGCCTGAGCACGGGAAGCACCGCACCCGTCAGCGCTCCCACAGGAGCAGCGCCAGGAGAGTGCAGCTGCAGGGGAGCAGCGGAGACCATCTCCCCAGCCACTGTCTCTGCTGTGCCTCATTAGCCGCTCTGCTACTCCCACGAGCATTTAAAAGAACAACAGTAACAACCACAACAAAAAGAATCACGCGATTCAAGCAATTTTCTCAAACAAACGTTATCCAAGGCCATTGTGTGCAGCTGAAAAGGCTGAACGCAGCGCTGCGTCTCCACACGCCCGGCATGGCCAGGGAGAATGCCAGAGCTGGCTGCCACAAGGCAGCAGTCACCAAGCTGCTGGCATCCCAGGGGACAGCCGTGCTGCCCACAGCCACTCCAGCCCCCCGCAGCAGATGAAGGCGAGGATGGGCAGCAGGGCTCGGAGCACTGGATGCCTCGGAGATGTGGCTGAGCTCAGTGTGATGGCTCCGGCAAACAGAGGCTTTGC